AATGGCATGCATCCCCATCAATTATGTGTACTATATACATAGCAAAAAAGGTTGCAAGACCTGTGTAAAGATGGACTGTATACGTTGCGTGTGGAGAGAGTATGGGTGTTGAGGCTCCTGTTATCTGACAGTATAGTGAAACGCAACAGCAGCTGCCCAACGCTCCAACACCAGTTACATCACTCTGACACTGACGTCTATATACTGCATCTGTGTTAGGGTTATTAAACACCTGTGTCCATTCATTCGCAAAGCTCATGTTAGCAGATATCCTTCATGGCAATCTAAACACACTCTAAGAAGGCCTCATGCGGATACCTCATCACAGAATTAATTGCAATCATGAGATTCTGTAGAGTGTAACCCGTTGAGGCCTAAACTCATATGTCCTCCACCCATTGTAAGAGAGGGAGAGTTAATCAGTGAAGAAAAGCTGTGTCCCTCAAACCCACACAACCCTGAACCCTTCAAGACGGAGAAGGCCTGGCTTTCATTTGGGTCTTTACAGGGAAAGTGAAAGTATCTTGGAAGGAATGAGTTTTGTCAGCGGTCATCACAGTCCATTATTTCCTTTTTCTCTTCTATTGTCAGGGACTGCCTGGGCCAAAAGGAGACAAGGTATGACAAAATACACCTTTTCTATAGTACAATTAGTCCTATAGAAAAGCTACCTTTTTTTTGTTTTTTACCCCCTTTTCGATCTTGTCTCATCACTGCAACTCCCCAACGGACTTGGGAGGCGAAGGTCAAGTAATGCGTCCTCCGAAACATGACCCGCCAAACCACGCTTCTTAACACCTGCCCGCTTAACCCGGAAGTCAGCCGCACCAATGTGTTGGAGGAAACACCGTTAAACTGACGACCGAGGTCAGCCTGCAGGCGCCCGACCCGCCACAAGGAGTCACTAGAGCATGATGAGCCAAGTAAAGCCCCCCTGGCCAAACCCTCCCCCAACCCAGACGACGCTGGGCCAATTGTGCGCTGCCCTATGGGACTCACGATCACGGCCGGTTGTTACGGTTGCCGAGTTCATATTAATTAATATCCCACAAAGCTTAACGCCTCTGACTCAGCAACTCAAAGAAGTAACACTTCAATTTCCCTTGACCACCAAGTCAAAATGTTTAGTTCTATGTCTCAAAATAAATATGTGTACATCTGAATTAAATGTAGGAAGCAATCAAATTTCAATCAACTTTCCACCTATACCTGTTTTAAACGTCTTCAACTACCATAAAAATACTTTAAACAGCGGAAGCAATTCACACAATTTTCTGGATTCATGTAAAATTACTTTTCTAGTCTAGTGCAATTAATAAAGTTATAATAAAATGTTAAACATGAAATGGAAAGATATTCTCGAAGCATGATTGTAACTTGCTTTGTACCTTTGATATACCTGTTGTGTACTTTGATCATCCATATTGTTCTCAAATTTTCCTGTTTTCTCTAGGGATATCAAGGAGATATGGGGCCCAGGGTGAGAGAGTTAAACATGTCATATATATACACTGAGTGTACAAAACATTAGGACCAATTGCTCTTTCCATGACATAGACTGACCAGGTGAAAGCTATGATCCCTTATTGATGTCACCTGTTAAATCCACTTCAATCAGTGTAGATGAAGGGGAGGAGACAGGTTAAAGAAGGATTTTTAAGCCTTGAGACATTTGAGACATGTATGTGTGCCATTCAGAGGGTGAATGGGCAAGAAAGAATATTTAAGTGCCGTTGAACAGGGTATGGTATTAAGTGCCAGGCACACTGGTTTGAGTGTCAAGAACTGCAATGCTGCCGGGTTTTTCACGCTCAACAGTTTGCCGTGTGTATCAAGAACGGTCCACCACCCAAAGAACATCCAGCCTCACTTGACACAATTGTGGGAAGCATTGGAGTCAACATGGGCCAGCATCCCTGTGGAACGCTTTCAACACCTTGTAGAGTCCATGCCACGACAAATTGAGGCTGTTCTGAGGGCAAAGGGGGTGCAACTCAATATTAAGAAGGTGTTCCTAATGTTTTGTACACTCACTGTATATTATCTATTATCATTCACCAGCACACCAGAATTCTACCAGCTCCACTCTCTCAGGTCAAATACAATGATTATACGCCCCCGCCACACACCCTCTTCCTTTGTTTAACCCACAGTTTATTCTGTCTACCACATTATAGGAAGAAATACGGATCAGGAATACTGAAAGAAAAAGTATTTTATATAACATCTGAACCTATCGTAACCTGATAGGTCAACCCTACTGACTCCCCTGTAACCCACAGCCTAACACACTTCTATTAGAAACAGGTGGCCTGGGCTGGCCTATTAAATGATTATTGCCTTGTTATTGTATTTAAGCCCCAACGGAAGGGCATTCTGGGGCACTGCTGTTCACTGTGCAAATAAGTCTAGTTCTCAAAAGAAAGACCTGGTTACCAGGTGTCCGTGATAAGACAAAAACATATTTTTTCTTGCACTGCGAGAATGCACTTTGGAGTCATGTAGTCAACGAAACAATTTGTATTGTGAGAAACAAAAAGAGCGCATCTGCAGATCTCTCTGCTCAGGGTGTTGTCTTTGATTTATCTCGGAAACATGGCAACCTGTTTTGATTGAACCAGTTCCTAAGCATATAAGGCATGGATTCGCTTGACTGTTAAATGTGCCCCTCCTTTTAACACCAAGTTTTAGGATCTGTCTTAGACAGTCTGTTTAATTGCTTGGCTAAGTTATCATTGCAACATCCCATGAGCTGAACTTTCTGATTGGGAAGAAGAAATAGGGGCATGTGTAAATCACCCAGTGAACAGCAGCTTGGCAGGAGTACATGACCCTGGAAGTATACTATTCCAGCTGTTTGGGTCCCCTGACCTTGGAAGTTAATTAAAGCTAGAGCAGCGTGAGCCCAGGTCGATGTCTGACCCATTGGGCACTAGTCTCCCAGCCATGTTCAAATATCTCTATCAAGAAGCAATTGGTTCACAATCAGTCACTCTTTGCTATTAAGATATTATACACATTAGCTCATTTTTACATTGGATTGTTGAGGCAGATGCATTCCTGTCATTCTCAACCCTCTTATTCTGCCTCAAAGTTGATTCTGGCCTGGTTTCCACTTGAGTTCATTTTTACTAGTCTGCACTCCAAAGGGCTTATTTATGGCTACGTACTTTGTAGTTATCAATATTACATTTTACTCATTTAGCAGACGCTCTTATCCAGAGCAACTTACAGTTAGTGAGTGCATACATTATCATTATTATTATTATATAATTTTTTTTCATACCCCCCGTGGGAATCGAACCCACAACCCTGGCGTGCAAACGCCATGCTCTACCAACTGAGCTACATCCCTGCCGGCCATTCCCTCCCCTACCCTAGACGATGCTGGGCCAATTGTGCGCCGCACCATGGGTCTCCCCGTGGTGCGAACCAGGATCTCTAGTGGCACAGCTAGCACTGCGATGCAGTGCCTTAGACCACTGCGCCACTCGGGAGGTTAGAATATAAAATATCAATTTGATATTTGAGAAAGCAGAGGGAAGATGTGAATTACACCAGGAAGAATATGGTTTTAGCCTCTAAACCCACTGCAATTCATGTTGACCACAGCTCTAACACAATCATGGACAAGACTGCCAGAATCTCTCCATGGATGGTTGATATTCATATGAAGTCAATCAGCCACAAGACAACTAGGCCTCTATTGTTTGAGGATTGAAACCAGACAGAATGGCTATTGTCTTTGTATGCTCTAGTCAGTTATGGTTAAGTGGCTTTACACATGCTGGAACTGTGCCAAGACAGGATTTTTGTGCTTACTAACAGATGGATCAATAACCTCAATTCCATCCCTTCACCCCCTCTGTTGTCTATCACCCTACTCACCCTTGTCTTTCATTATCCCCCTCTTACCCAACCCTCCTCCATCCTTATGCTCCTTTCCAACACTGTCCAAACCTCACATCAGGGACTCCCTGCACTCATGGGCTCTGCAGGTCTGCCCAGTAATCAGATTCTCACAGTCAAGGTTTGTCCCACCCCCCTCTCTCTCTCTCTCTCGACCGGGTCCTCTGAGTCTCCATCCAGCCTTGCCGTTCCCTTCCTTTATTCTCCTTCTCCCTCTCTTCTTCTGTTAAGCCTGTAGAGAATACTAGTTACTGACTCTCTGTTTAACCTCTCTCTTACATTCTTTCTGTTTTTTTTCTTTTCACTGTGTCTCTGGTGGCGTCCCTCTCTCCCTTTCTCTCTGGAGTCAGATGGTCTTCCCACGCTTCAACCACGGCTTTCTCTCTGGCGACCAGCACACTTTTCAGAAACGCCTCCTGAAGTTAGAGCTAGTCGCATCTCAGCCCTCTCTCCCTTCAAGCTGGCTTCTCACCCTCTCTTCTTCTATCACTTTCTCTCACACATGTACATATGTTATTGGCCTCCAGCATTTTTTGGTTTGCCGCTCTGCCACTTCTTTCCATATGTCTGCTTCAAATTTGAGAGAAAATGAGTGGGAAAATAAATGATGTCTTTTTGGAAAGTGAGTTTGAATAAATTACATTGTTTGTGGATGATAATTTGGTGGAAAGAATGCCAGTCAGAACTACGGTAATTGGAGAACAAGAATAGCTTGTTGTTTACTTGACAAAATAAATTGCTGTTAATATGACTGTGTTAAACATCTTGTTTTGAGTAAAACCACATCAGGCATTCAACAGTCTTCTAGAGTGAATAATATGCATAGCAGCAGTTTAAGCCTTGCTTTAACACTTTGACATTGGCAAAGATAGTTGGCGGCAAACGCCAGACACATTGTGAAAAGAGGCTAATGCCAGACAAGTTTTTAATTAACTGTACAGAACATTGATCAAAGTTAAGATGTTGAAAGTGGTTCAAGAACTTGTCTGGGGTGTGACAATACAATTATTCTGCAATTTGTTTTGATTGATAATACTGTGGGAATTGGGATTATTACCTCATCTCATACGTCTCTCTCCATGCCTATACAGGGTGACCAGGGTCAGGCTGGCCTTCCCGGCCCCCCGGGGCCCCCTGGATCACCAGGTCCTAGAGGACCATCTGGGAACACAGGGAAGGATGGGCCCAGAGGTCACCCTGGGGAGCAGGTAAGACAGCCCCTCTCTCATCCATGTCACTACAGTCATCAGTCAGAAGAGGACTGGCCACCACTCTTCCTAGGTTCCTGCCTTCTAGGGAGTTTTTCCTCACCACTGTGCTTCTGCCTTTGCATTGCTTGCTCTTTGGGGTTTTAGGCTGCGTATCTGTAAAGCACATTGTAACACATGCTGATGTCTAAAGGGCTTAAAAAATCAATTTGATTAATTGATTTATCTCACTCCCCGCTGAAAAAACCCCAGCATAAACTAGCATGGTCTGGAGACCAGACTTCGTTGTGTTTTCACTGGAGACCAGCCTACATTGTGTTTTCGCCGGAGACCAGCCTTCGTTGAATTTTAGACACATAAGCTGGCCACCAGCATACCAGTATATGCTGGTCATCCGCAAAACCAGCATCAAGTCACATTATGCTGGCTTGCAACGTGATGTCTAATCCTATTGAAATCCAGCCTAACTGGGGATATCAACAAATTTGAATTTGTATTCACCACAATCTGCATTCAGAATGACTGCCAGGGTTAGAAAGATGAATGAATGAGACTACCTAAACCATCTAAACTGGAACAACCATTTCAGTAACGGGTGCAATAAGTCCAACTAACAGATTAGATTAGTTTAGAAAAATCTATGCTATTTATCTTTGTGTAGCATGAAAGGTGAAATAAATACAATTTTATAAATGTCTAGTAGTTATGTCTAGATTATTTTGGGAAGTTCTGGATAGTATACAGATACTATAAACAGGCTCCATTGTGGGACCACAATTGCTTTGCAGCATGTTCAGGATTTCTTTCAAAAGCAAGTCAGTATACCGAATAAACTAGATATCCTAAATAGTGTTGTGTTTGCATTGGGTCAAATAGGCTATACAGCACTAACTCAACCAGCCAGGAGTACCTGTAGGTGACGATGGGGGAGAGTGGCTGATCAATTGTTTCATCCAGGAGATAGGTTTCATCTGAGCAGTTCCAGCATGTGTAAAGCCACTTAACCATAACTGACTAGAGCATTCAAAGACAATAGCCATAGAAAAAAATAATTATTAAAAATGCAAAAAAAAATACCATAAATCCAGAACAGGTCTACACAATATGTTCAGGGTAACATCCATGAACGTGTGGTAGCATTAGCCAGCCCTAAACCAGATAACACTATCATAACAACATGGTATGGGGCAGAGAGAAAATGTGCTCTTTTAGAGCTAATTTTCAGTAATAATACTAAAAAAAATTATAATGGCTTATGACATGTTTGTTCCCAAGATTGAGACCAGGAAAACAGATAATGTTTCCTGTAAAACTGGAGAAATGATGAGACAAGAGAAAGTTTCAGGAAAAGATCTCTCAATAGAATTTCATAAACATATGTGTCAAGGGTCAATTATCTGGTTTTTCTACATTGCTTTGTAGAAAAATATAAATTCACATACTTGCATATCCTATGTTCAGTCTCGTTAACAGTACATATAGCTATTGCTATTCAATGAATTAGTATCTGTACCAAAATAATGGCTATTCACTTACAAAGGGTATGCTATCTTGTATGTATGTTTTTCCAACACATCTCAACAGGTTACCCACTGTAGTAATGTAAACATAAATGTTACCCAATGCTTCACGATCGCCCACAATGACCCCCACTAGCCCTGCTAACAGTAAAATACATTTATACATTAACAGCTAAGCATATAGACCTGTGTGAAGCTAGTGACAATAATGATTAGCCACAAGTGGAAATTTCGTTTTGCCTTCAAAATAAAAGTCCCCCATTGAAAGTGATTGAAACTGATACAAATATTGGAATCATGACATATTTGGACTAGATAATGCTAAACAAGGTCGAAATGTTGTTATATAAATTCAACATAAGACAATAATTAGTTAATTTTGACAAATAAATAAAAATTTGTTGAAATCCCACTGTTGCTGTATTAGACTTTAGAATTGCATTGGGAGCATACTTAAATGCACTGTACAGCCTTATCTATGGACCTTGGGTCCATGAAATGGGGGTATCCACCTACATGCACAGATTACACTTCTAAAGAGTTTACACAAATATTAGCGTCCTAGCTCATATAAGGGAACTTTAACTGTGGGAAATCGCCTCACTATACAGCCTATTGTGTGTATTGACATTCATATTGCAATGTACAGCCTTACTTATGGCTCTTGGTCCATAAATATTAGCTACAATGCTAAATTTAGTGAAACCCACAGATTACAATACTGAAGAGTTTACACAGAGTAGGCTGATACCGATGGATCTTGGGTACACGAAATGGGGTAAGGCTGTACATTGCAATATGAATGTTCTGTACATAGTAGGTTGACTGGTGAGCTTAATGTGGCTCATTTCACACCGGTTTCAGAGTCACGCAATTAGTGCTACGACGCTAATATTTTTGAAAACTCTTCACAGTTGTGTTCTGTGGGTGTCACTGAGTAGGCTGATACCCCAATTCATGGACCCAAGAACTATAGGTACGTCTGTAAAGTGCATATAAGTCTCCCCCAATGCAATTCTAAAGTCTAATACATCCACGGCGCGATTTCAACAGATTTGTACTTATTGTTTGTTGACAAATTAACTAATTATTGTCTTTTGTGGAATTTATATAACAACATTCTGAACTTGTTCAGCATTATCTAGAGCAAATATGGCATGATTCCACAATTTGTATCAGTTTGAATCACTTTCAACTTTTATTTTGAAGGCGAAGTGCAAATTCCACCAGTGTGGCTAATCCTTATTGTGGCTAGCTTCACACAGGTAGCATATAGCTAGTGCTAAACTAGCGCTTAGCATGACGCTAGCTAGCGAACTTTCGAACCATGTATCATCTGCATATACAGTGCATTCGGAATGAATTCAGATTCCTTGACCTTTTCCACATTTTGTTACGTTACAGCCTTATTCTAAAATGGATTACATTGGGGTTTTTCCACATCAATCTACACACAATACCCCATAATGACGAAGCAAAAACAGGTTTTCAATTTTTTTTGCAAACTTATTAAAAATTAAATACTGATATCACATTTACGTAAGTATTCAGACCCTTTACTCAGTGCTTTGGAAGCTATTAAAGCCATGAGTCTTCTGGGGTATGACGCTACAGGCTTGGCACACCTGTATTTGGGGAGTTTCTCTCATTATTTTCTGCAGATCCTCTCAAGCTCTGTCAGGTTGGATGGGGAGTGTCGCTGCACAGCTATTTTCAGGTCTCTCCAGAGATGTTAGATCAGGTTCAAGTCCGGGCTCTGGCTGGGCCACTCAAGGACATTCAGAGATTTGTCCAGAAGCCACTCCTGCGTTGTCTTGGCTGTGTGCTTAGGGTTGTTGTCCTGTTGGAAGGTGAACCTTTGCCGCAGTCTGAGGTCCTGAGCGCTCTGGAGCAGGTTTTCATCAAGGATCTCTCTGTACTTTGCTCCGTTAATCTTACCCTCGATCCTGACTAGTCTCCCAGTCCCTGCCGCTGAAAATCCCCACAGCATGATACTGCCACCACCATGCTTCACCATGCTCAACACAATCCTGTCTCTGAGCTCTACAGACAATTCCTTCGACCTCATGGCTTGGTTTTTGCTATGACATGCACTGTACAACTGTGGGACCTTACTGTGCCTTCTGAAAATATTTAGACCCCTTGACTTTTTCCGCATTGTTACGTTACAGCCTTATTATAAGATTGATTAAATAAAGAAATCCTCAGCAATCGAAACACATTAACCCATAATGACAAAGCAAAAACAGGTTTTTACAATTTTTTTGAAATGTATTAAACCTAAAAAACTGAAATACATTATTAAATAAGTATTTAGACCCTTTGCTATGAGACTCGAAATTAAGCTCAGGTGCATCTTGTGGTAAATTCAATTGATTGGACATGATCTGGAAGGGCACATACCTGTCTATATAAGGTCCCACAGTTGATAGTGCATATCTGAGCAAAACCAAGCCATGAGGTTGAAGGAATTGTCCGTAGACAGGATTGTGTCGAGGCACAGATCCGTGGAAGGGTGCCAAAACATTTCTGCAGCATTGAAGGTCCCCAAGAACACAGTGGCCTCCATCTTTCTTAAATGGAAGAAGTTTGGAACCACCAAGAATCTTCGTAGAGCTGGGCCGCCCGGTCAAACTGAGCAATCGGGGGAGAAGGGCCTTGGTCTGGGAGGTGACCAAGAACCCGATGGTCACTCTGACAGAGCTCTGGAGTTGCTCTGTGGAGATGGGAGAACCTTCCAGAAGGACAACCATCTCTGAAGAACTCCACCAATCAGGCCTTTATGGTAGAGTGGCCAGACGGAAGCCACTCCTCAGTAAAAGGCACATGACAGCCTGCTTGGAGTTTGCCAAAAGGCACCTAAAGACTATCAGACCATGAGAAACAAGATTCTCTGGTCTGATGAAACCAAGATTGAACTCTTTGGCCTGAATACCAGGTGTCATGTCTGGAGGAAACCTGGCACCATCCCTACGGTGAAGCATGTTGGTGGCAGCATCATGCTGTGGGGATGGTTTTACAGCGGCAGGGACTGGGAGACTAGTCAGGATCGAGGGAAAGATTAACGGAGCAAAATACAGAGCGCTCAGGACCTCAGACTGAGGCAAAGGTTCACCTTCCAACAGGACAACAACCCTAAGCACACAGCCAAGACAACGCAGGAGTGGCTTCAGGACAAGTCTCTGAATGTCCTTGAGTGGTCCAGCCAAAGCACGGACTTGAACCCGATCTAACATCTCTGGAGAGACCTGAAAATAGCTGTACAGCAACGCTCCCTATCCAACCTGACAGAGCTTGAGAGGATCTGCAGAGAAGAATGGGAGAAACTCCCCAAATACAGGTAGCGTCATACCCAAGAAAGAAGACTTGATGCTGTAATAGCTGCCAAAGGTGCTTCAACAATGTACTGAGTAAAGGCACTGAAAACCTGTTTTTGCTTTGTCTTTATGGGGTATTGTGTGTAAATTGATGAGGGAAAAAAAACAATTTAATCAATTTTAGAATAAGGCTGTAACGTAACAAAATGTGGAAAAGGTCAAGGTGTCTGAATACTTTCCGAAGGCACTGTATATAGACAGGTGTGTGCCTTTCCAAATCATGTCCAATCAATTGAATTTACCAAAGGTGGACACCAATCAAGTTGCAGAAACATCTCAAGGATGATCAATGGAAACCTGAGCTCAATTTCGAGTCTCATAGCAAATGGTCTGAATACTTATGTAAATAAGGTATCAGTTATTTTTTAATACATTTGCAAAAATGTCTAAAAACCTGTTTTCGCTTTGTCATTATGGGGTATTGTGTGTAGACTGATTAGGAAAATTTGTAACTTCATCCATTTTGGAATAAGGCAGTAATGTAACAAAATGTGGAAAAGGTGATGGGTTCGGATACTTTCCGAATGCACTGTAAATGGATGACAGAGCTTCCTACTGCCTGAGCTATGTTGTTGATGTAAATTGAGAAGAGCTTGGGGCCTAGGATCGAGCCTTGGGGTACTATCTTGGTGACAGGCAGTGGCTGACACAGCAGATGTTCTGACTTTACACATAGCACTCTTTGAGATACACTACCAGTCAAAAGTTTGGACACACCTACTCATTCAAGGGTTTTTCTTTATTTTACATTGTAGAATGTGAAACAGTGAAGACATCAAAACTATGAAATAACACATATGGAATCATGTAGTAACCAAAAAAGGGTTAAACAAATCAAAATATATTTTATATTTGAGATTCTTCAAATAGCCACCCTTTGCCTTGATGACAGCTTTGCACACTCTTGGCATTCACTCAAACAGCTTCATGAGGTAGTCACCTGGAATGCATTTCAATTAACAGGTGTGCCTTATTAAATGTTAATTTGTGGAATTTATTTCCTTCTTAATGCGTTAGAGCCAATCAGTTGTGTTGTGACAAGGTAGGGGTGGTGGTATACAGAAGATAGCCCTAGTTGGTAAAAGACCAAGTCCATAATATGGCAAGAACAGCTCAAATAAGCAAAGAGAAACGACAGTCCATCATTACTTTAAGACATGAAGGTCAGTCAATCCAGAACATTTCAAAAACTTTGAACGTTTCTTCAACTGCAGTCGCAAAAACCATCAAGTGCATGATTAAACTGGCTCTCATGTGGACCACCACAGGAATGGAAGACCCAGAGTTACCTCTGCAGCAGAGGATAACTTCATTATCGTTACCAGCCTCAGAAATTGCAGCCCAAATAAATGCTTCACAGAGTTCAAGTCACAGACACATCTCAACATCAACTGCTCAGAGGGGACTGTGTGAATCAGGCCTTCATGGTCGAATTGCTGCAAAGAAACCAGTAGTAAAGGACATCAATAATAAGAAGAGACCTGCTTGGGCCAACAAACATGAGCAATGGACATTAGACCGGTGGAAATGTGTCCTTTGGTCTGGAGTCCAAATTTGAGATTTTCTTTCTCCAACCGCCGTGTCTTTGTGAGACGCAGTGTGGGTGAACGGATGATCTCTGCATGTGTAGTTCCCACCGTAAAGCATGGAGGAGGAGGTGTTATGGTGTGGGAGTGCTTTGCTGGTGACACTGTCTCTGATTTATTTAGAATTCAAGGTATACTTAACAAGCATGGCTACCACAGCATTCAGAGTGATGGAGTGCAGCATCAGATGACTTGGCCTCCACAATCCCCTGACCTCAACCCAATTGAGATGGTTTGGGATGAGTCGGACGGCAGAGTGAAGGAAAAGCAGCCAACAAGTGCTCAGCATATGTGGGAACACCTTCAAGACTGTTGGAAATGCATTCCAGGTGAAGCTGGTTGAGAGAATGCCAAGAGTGTGCAAAGCTGTCATCAAGGCAAAGGAAGATTTGAAGAATCTCAAATCTCAAATATATTTTGATTTCTTTAACACTTTTTTGGTTACTACCTGATTCCATATGTATTATTTCATAGTTTTGATGTCTTCACTATTATTCCACAATATAGAAAATAGTACAAATAAAGAAAAACCCTTGAATGAGTAGATGTGTCCAAACTTTTGACTGGTACTGTAGGTAGTTAGCAAACCAGGCCAAAGACCCCTCAGAGACACCAATACTCCTTAGCCGACCCACAAGAATGGAATGATCTACCGTATAAAAAGCTTTGGCCAAGTCAATAAAAATAGCATCACAACATTGCTTAGTATTAAGGGCAGTAGTGAAATCATTTAGGACCTTTAAGTGACACATCCATAACTTGAGTGGAAACCAGATTGCATATCAGAGAGAATACTATAGACATCAAGAAAGCCAGTAAGTTGATTATTGACAAGTTTTTCCAGCTCTTTTGATTAACAGGGCAAGATATAAATTGGCCTATAACAGTTAGGATCAGCTTGATCTCCCCCTGTAAATAAAGGATGCACCGGGGCTGTCTTCCAAGCACTGGGAACCTCTCCAGAGAGGAGAGACAGGTTAAAAAGGCGAGAGATAGGCTCGGCAATGATAGGGGCAGCAACCTTAAAGAAGAATGGATCTAAACCATCTGACCCAGATGTTTTTTGGGGGTCAAATTTAAGGAGCTCCTTTAGCACCTTAGACTCAGGGAGAAGCTGTGTAGCGGGGCAGGGGAAAAAGAGGGAGGGGCATCAGGGCTAGTTGCTTTACATGCTGACTAGACCGGGCACGCTCTTGCGCCATCGCGCGCATGTTGATTCTGTCCATCCACACCAGCTGCGAACAGGACACGCAGGTTGAAATATCAAAACGAACTCTGAACCAACTATATCAATTTGGGGACAGGTTGAAACATGTGAAACATTCATGAACATTTAGCTAGCTAGCTTGCTGTTGCTAGCTAATTTGTGCTGGGATATAAACATTCGGTGGTTATTTTACCTGAAATGCACAAGGTCCTTTTTTTCCTGGATCTTTGTAGAATTTTGACCCATTCTGAGTCACACAAAATTGTGTGTTCTCTACTCTGACAATTAATCCACAGATTAAAGGGGAAACCTAGTTAGTTTCTAGTAATCTCTCCTTCTTCTTCTTCTGTGGACTTTATATGGCAGTTGGCAACCAACTTTAAGGTGCATTACCACCACTAACTGGACTGGAGTGTGGACCTCAGTTCAGCTTTCAATCACCCACGTGGGTATATGCTCCTAAAAATCAATGAGGAGATGGGAGAGGCGGGACTTGCAGTGCATCAAGCGTCAAAAATAGAACTAAGTTATATTTTAGAGCCTGGCTATGCAGACGCTCGTTGACGCGCGCGAGCAGTAGGGATGAAATGATTGAATAACATGTATGTGTACATTTATTTTGCAAAGCTCGCGTGCGCAACACGGGCGGTGTGGTTAGCATGTTAGAAGGGCTGGGAGATAAGGAAGTGTTGGGCGGGCAAGGAGGCGTGGCTGTGTCAAATAGGAATCCTGACTTAATGAAGTGGTGATTAAAGAGCTCAGCCATACACAACCATAACAACCACATCATCAACATTAAGGGACATGGGCAGCTGTGAGGAGGAGGGTTTATTCTCCAGGTCTTTCACCGTTTTCCAGAACTTCTTGGGATTAGACCTACAGAGAGAGAACTGCTCCTTAAAGTAACTAACTTTGGCCTTCCGGATAGCCTGAGTGCACTTATTTCTCATTTGCCTGAAAGACAGCTAGTCAGAGTATTTGTGTCATAAGCTTTTCTTGAGGTTCCGTAACTCTGCCAGATCACGGTCGAACCAGGGGCTGAACCTGTACCAATTTGATTTTATTCCATGTTAAATCCTATAATGGGGAGACTTAGCATTTTCTAGCTTGGACAAAAACAACTTAACAAATACACTTTAAATGTCACACAACCCATGAAATAGTTAGTGAAACATGTTGTTATCTTACTGTTTCAAGGTATATTTTGTATAGTTACACATTACAAACCTGTAAAACAGGAGAAATTATGAGACGAGAAAATGTACTGGTTTCAGAAAAAGTTCTGTCAATAGAATGAGGAAGTGAGGTCACGATCACCAGTGTAAAGGCCACCAAACAACAGTTCTGTTGGCTCCACCTAGTGGTACCAATACCTTTCAGGGCATATTAATGCATAAACCTGGAGGATTCCAATAATGAAATCAAAGTAATACAAGTTATGGCTCACATATAATAAAACAATTTCTTAAAAATCAAAAACACATTAAATCAATACAAAACTGTGACCATACATTTTGTGTGCGTCACATATTCATATGGTACAGTAGCTGTGGGGGAGGGAGTATGTGCTACGCCAGTGACCGAGAGGTTGTGTGTTCAAATCCCAAGTGAGGTGGACTCCCAAGCGTATTTTGATGGTCTGCAAAACCACGCATGTCATTATCATATTTCCCAGCATGCTCTACTGCAGTTAGATTTTTATAATTGTTTCTTATAATATCTGTGTTTTTGCATGTACATTGATTGACAGTGGCATACCACAGATTCGCGGGCCCTCCTGCAAGGTCTGAGCAAGGTATAGCTAATCTCATGCTATTCTACACATTTTGCAATGAGGCTGGGAGAATTTCAAATTTTTCAAGCTAATTACCTGCTATTCTATACAGTCCTCTGTAGCTCAGCTGGTAGAGCACGGCGCTTGTAACGCCAAGGTAGTGGGTTCGAACCCCGGGACCACCCATACACAAAAAAATAAATAATTATGCACGCATGACTGTAAGTCGCTTTGGATAAAAGCGTCTGCTAAATGGCATATTATTATTTATCTTATTATTATTTTGCCATGAGGCTGAGAGAAAAGATCCTGTGGGCCCCCCGCCTTGCGTGGGCTGCGGGGGTGTGCTGTACACAAGTGTTGATTGATTAATTAGTCAATTAATGTATCTTATGCTATGCAAAGATAAATAACATACATTTTTATAACTAATCCAATCTGTTAGTTGGACTTATTTCACCCGTTACTGAAATGGTTGTTACAGTTTAGATGGTTTAGGTAGTCTCATTCATTCATTCATTCATCTTTCTAACCCTGGCAGTAATTCTGAATACAGATTGTGGGAATCCACTCTGGCTGGATTCCAATAGGATTTAAACATCACTTTGCAAGCCAGCATAATGTGACTTGAATGTGTGTCCAAATACAGCGAAGGCTGGTCACCAGTGAACACACAAAGAAGGCTGGTATGCCAGCATAACCAGCTAGACCATGCTGGTCAGACCACCTTGACCAGCTAGACCATGCTGGTCTGCCAGCATAACCAGCTAGACCATGCTGGTTGGCCAGCAGAACCAGTTAGACCATGCTGGTCAGACCAGCTTGACCAGCATCAGACTAGCACTGACCAGCATAAACCAGCATGGATCAGCATATGGTGGTAGGAGAGATAAAAAAGGATCCTCAGCTCAGTTGGCCTTTTCTGGTGGTTCAGGCGGATAGAAAGGAACTCGAATATCGTTAATCAGTGAAATGCAGAATAGTTCAGTACACAAAGCCAACCATTCATTTCCTTTCACTCTCTTTGTCTAGCTTTCCTACTGAATGAAAGAGAATCTGATTCATTCCAGCCAGGACAGCTCTGAGATGAGGTCAATCACATCGCTCTCCATATTGCCAGCAGATGTTTCTAGATCAACAAGCAGCGAGGCCATTTCCTGTTGTTGTCTCTCTAATTATGTTTATCTTAGCTTACTGAAACCACCTCGTTAGGAGCTAGAGGAGAGCAACCGGTGGTGGGTCTGCCATGTCTTGTCATCTTCTCCGCACATGTGGTGGTGAAGGCAAGACAGGACAGACAGTTGTCCTGGTAACTAGTTTTGTGTCAAAATATGTAGTTTTGTGTACAAAACATTAAGGACACCTTCCTAATATTGAGTTGCACCCGCCCTCAGAACAGTCTCAATTCGTTGGGGCATGGACTGTACAAGGTGTTGAAAGCGCTCCACAGGGATGCTGGCCCATGTTGACTTGAATGCTTTCCACAGTTGTGTCAAGTTGGCTGGATGTCCTTTGGGTGGTGGACCTTTCTTGATACAAATGGGAAACTGTTGAGCGTGAAAAACCCAGCAGTGTTGCAGTTCTTGACACAAACCAGTGCGCCTGGCACCTACTATCATACACCATTCAAAGGCACATACATCTTTTGTCCATGTCTCCTCTAAAGGCTTGGAAATCCTTCTTTAACCTGTCTCCTCCCCTTCATCTACAGGGATTGAAGTGGATTTAACAAGTGACATCAATAAGGGATCATAGCTTTCACCTGGATTGACCTGGTCAGTCTATGTCATGGAAAGAGCAGGTGTCCTTAATGTTTTGTACAATCAGTGTATATTTTACCTTTAGACCTCCTTGTTAAAGGAGAGTGATTAACAGGGGAGCAACATTCACTGGGGACATGTCTAAAACCAAAGTTGCGCCCCTGGTGATTAATTTTATCTCACTAGAGCTGGAAAAAATTGCTATTATTATTTTGCTTTGCATTTTGTTGTGTTGCTCTATAAATGTATATCGTTCTAATTAGCAAAAATACCATCTCAGTAGATGCAACAGAAACACTTCACTCATTTACTAGAGTACCTAACACTTTTGTTGTATTTGTATAAATAATGCCATCTAGTGGATGATAAAGAATGGCGCCGGAGAGGTTGGATGCCGTTTTACGGGCTCCTAACCAACTGTGCTATTTTGTTAGTTGTTATGTGTTGTTTGTAACTTATTTTGTACATGATGTTGCTGCTACCATCTCTTATGACCGAAAAGAGCTTCTGGACATTAGAACAGCGATTACTCACCTCGAACTGGACAAAGATTTGTTCTTTAACGAGTCTGACGCGAAGGATATACTGCTTTCTCGAGACCAGGCCCAAATCCCTGTCATTTGCGTGAAGAAAAGATGGAGAAAAAGGGGGCGGAGGTCGGGCTGCCTTTTGAGAATTCGTAGGCGAGTGAGTAAACCTCCACTACCATACGTTCTATTGGCCAACGTGCAATCAATGGAAAACAAAATGGACGATCTACGATTAAGACTATCCTACCAACGGGACATGAAAAACTGTAATTTCACCGAGTCGTGGCTGAACAACGACATGGATAATATAGAGCTGGCTGGGTTTTCGGCAGGACAGAGAAGCTACGTCTGGTAAGACAAGGGGGGTGTGTGTGTGTCTATTTGTCAGTAACAGATGGTGCGCAATGTCTAATATTAAAGCAGTCTCGAGGTATTGCTCATGTCGTGGAAATTCTAATCAATAATGAGGAGAGACAAGGTCAATCACTAATCAGGATATTACTTTATTCAAAATGTATTAATAAGGTAGTAAGTGAGACTGTTGGGTTGAGAGCTCTGACATACAGACAATACAAATATATTTTATAGTGAATATACACCTTCTCAGTCTACATGACAAACAGCAGATGTGTGGAATGAGTCAAAAGGTTAGGATTTGTATGAAATAAATGAATAATTCACAGCAGACAGTATCTGCGGTGAAGACTGTTCTCATTGTATGGAAACCAGGGTTTGGCCCCCAAGACAAGGTTCTTATCAACATTATCCATACCCGAGCCATCTCTCCCTGGTACCTTACATTACACTAACACCAATTCAGTCTATGAAAATGCAGGCTCAGTCAGACCAGAGACATCTCCCTTTCACACACCATTAATCATGAAATGGAATGTGGCTGTTGGTTTTATCACCTAGCCATCCTTAAATCAATTGCCAGGCCCAGCTTCAGAGGCTCCTCTCAGTTCACACAGACACAGAAGAGAGAGTTCCTAAGAACCCTATTCTATTGCATAAAACAGTATTAAACATAATCTTGTAATTTTTCCACCATTCTCGCCTGAGGTAGAGTACCTCATGATTAGCTGTAGACCACACTATCTACCAAGAGAGTTCTCATCTATATTATTCGTAGCTGTCTATTTACCACCACAAACCGATGCTGGCACTAAGACCGCACTCAATGAGCTGTATAAGGCCATAAGCAAACAAGAAAATGCTCATCCAGAAGCGGCGCTCCTAGTGGGTGGGGACTTTAATGCAGGCAAACTTAAATCAATTTTACCTAATTTCTACCAGCATGTGTACTTTACTCCACACACGGAGACGCATACAAAGCTTTCCCTCTCCATCCATTTGGCAAATCTGACCATAATTCTATCCTCCTGATTCCTGCTTACAAGCAAAAACTAAAGCAGGAAGTACCAGTGATTCGCTCAATACAGAAGTGGTCAGATGACGCGGATGCTACGCTACAGGACTGTTTTGCTAGGACAGACTAGAATATGTTCCGGGATTCATCCAATGACATTGAGGAGTATACCACCTTAGTCACCGGCTTCATCAATAAGTGCATCGACGACGTTGTCCCCAAAGTGACCGTACGTACATATCCCAACCAGAAACCATGGATTTCAGGCAACATCCGCATCGAGCTAAAGGCTAGTGCTGCCGCTTTCAAGAAGCGGGACACTAATCCGGAGGCTTATAAGAAATCCCGCTACGCCCTCAGACGAACCATCAAAACAGGCAAATTGTCAATACAGGATTAAGATTGAATCCTACTACACCGGCTTTGATGCTCTTCGGATGTGACAGGGCTTGAAAACTATTACGCACTACAAAGGGAAACCCTTTGAAGTCCCCTCCTGTACTCCCTGTTCACCCACGACTGCGTGGCCAAACACGACTCCAACACCATCATTAAGTTTGCTGATGACACAACAGTGGTAGGCCTGATCACCGACAACGATGAGACAGCCTATAGGGAAGAGGTCAGAGATCTGGCAGTGTGGTGCCAGGACAACAACCTCTCCCTCAATGTGAGTAAGACAATGGAGCTGATCGTGGACTACAGGAAAAGGTGGGCCGAACAGGCCCCCTTAACATCAACGGGGCTGTAGTGGAGCAGGTCGAGGGTTTCAAGTTCATTGGTGTCCACATCACCAACAAACTATCATGGTCCAAACACACCAAGACAGTCGTGAAGAGGGCACGACAACACCTTTTCCCCCTCAGGAGACTGATTTGGCATGGGTCCCCAGATCCTCAAAAAGTTCTACAGCTGCACCATCGAGAGCATCCTGACCGTTTGCATCACCGCCTGGAATTGCAACTGCTCGGCATCTGACCGTAAGGCGCTACAGAGGATAATGCGTACGGCCCAGTACATCACGGCCCAAGCTTCCTGCCATCCAGGACCTATATACTAGGCGGTGTCAGAGGAAGGCCCCAAAAAATTGTCAAAGACTCCAGTCACTCAAGTCATAGACTGTTCTCTCTGCTCCCGCATGGCAAGCGGTACCGGAGCGCCATGTCTAGGACCAAAAGGCTCCTTAACAGCTTCTACGTTCAAGCCATAAGACTGCTGAACAATTAATCAAATGGCCACCCGGACTATTTACATTGACACCTCCCCCTCCCTTTGTTTTTAAACTGCTGCTACTCGCTGTTTATTATTTATGCATAGTCACTTTACCCCTACCCACATGTACAAATTACCTCGACTAACCTGTACCCCCGCACATTGACTCGGTACTGGTACCCCCTGTATAGAGCCTCGTTATTGTTATTTTATTATGTTATTTAAAAAAATATATATATACAGTACCAGTCATGGTACACCTGTTGAATTCAGCGCATGTGACAAATAACATTTGATTTGATTTTTGCAATTGAATTGCCCCGCTCTTCAATTTGGTCCATCTTTACTTGTTGATGTTTTATTAAACTTGAGGTTTCCTTCACAGGGTCCACCTGGTCGAGATGGAACTGATGGATTAGAGGTAGCCTATGTTTCAAATATTATTTTGTATTTCTGATATAATAAGGTGCACACACACCAACACTCTCTCTCCCACACACACACATACTCACACATCACATCACGGTATTCACTTTCCTTGAGCCCTACTCTTTTATTTAAATTTTAAAAAATTGTCATTTTAGCAGACACTCTTATCCAGAGTGACTTACAGTTAGTGAGTGCATACATTCCCTACTCTTTGTTTCATGTTTCTTTTTCTTTTTGGTTAGTCTGGTATTGTTTTAGATAGTTGTTTCTTGCTTTTCTTTTATACAATTGTAAAGCAACTTGGGTCCTTGAAAAGCGCTATATAAATACCATGCATATGGCCCAAATCATTCTGATAATGTGTCCTCTTTACACAGGGACAAATGGGTCCTCCTGGACGACAGGTAAAATATCCACATTTCTCATGCAGACACACTTCCACACATACCGGTATACATGTATACTATGTATGTAGCCTACACTCTCAGAAATAAGGGTACGGTTAGGCTACTGTATTATTCCCTGGGGGTACAAAAACATCAAAGTACACATAATATACCTTCAGAGGTACACACTATGATCTCACATGGTACTGTTCGGTACCTTTTAGGGTACATTTTGCAGATAAAGATAACATATTTTGAATATAAAAAGGTACAATCATCACACTCTCACTCTCAAAGAAAGGGGTATGGTGTGATGGTACATTTCTTTTTCCCAGAGTACAAACATATTTTGTGTACCCTCAATACCCCCCATAAGGTACAATGAACAATTTTTGCCACCTAAAAGGAACTAACGGCTTTATTACTGGGGTGGCACCCTAAAAAGGCAAATTTGTACCATAATCATGATGAATTGTTTTTAATATATGTGTTTTTGCATATACAGTGGGGGAAAAAAGTATTTAGTCAGCCACCAATTGTGCAAGTTCTCCCACTTAAAAAGATGAGAGAGGCCTGTAATTTTCATCATAGGTACACGTCAACTATGACAGACAAATTGAGAAAAAGAAATCCAGAAAATCACATTGTAGGATTTTTTATGAATTTATTTGCAAATTATGGTGGAAAATAAGTATTTGGTCACCTACAAACAAGCAAGATTTCTGGCTCTCACAGACCTGTAACTTCTTTTTTAAGAGGCTCCTCTGTCCTCCACTCGTTACCTGTATTAATGGCACCTATTTGAACTTGTTATCAGTATAAAAGACACCTGTCCACAACCTCAAACAGTCACACTCCAAACTCCACTATGGCCAAGACCAAAGAGCTGTCAAAGGACACCAGAAACAAAATTGTAGAACTGCAACAGGCTGGGAAGACTAAATCTGCAATAGGTAAGCAGCTTGGTTTGAAGAAATCAACTGTGGGAGCAATTATTAGGAAATGGAAGATATACAAGACCACTGATAATCTCCCTCGATCTGGGGCTCCACGCAAGATCTCACCCCGTGGGGTCAAAATGATCACAAGAACGGTGAGCAAAAATCCCAGAACCACACGGGGGGACCTAGTGAATGACCTGCAGAGAGCTGGGACCAAAGTAACAAAGCCTACCATCAGTAACACACTACGCCGCCAGGGACTCAAATCCTGCAGTGCCAGACGTGTCCCCCTGCTTAAGCCAGTACATGTCCAGACCCGTCTGAAGTTTGCTAGAGTGCATTTGGATGATCCAGAAGAGGATTGGGAGAATGTCATATGGTCAGATGAAACCAAAATAGAACTTTTTGGTAAAAACTCAACTCGTCGTGTTTGGAGGACAAAGAATGCTGAGTTGCATCCAAAGAACACCATACCTACTGTGAAGCATGGGGGTGGAAACATCATGCTTTGGGGCTGTTTTTCTGCAAAGGGACCAGGACGACTGATCCGTGTAAAGGAAAGAATGAATGGGGCCATGTATCATGAGATTTTGAGTGAAAACCTCCTTCCATCAGCAAGGGCATTGAAGATGAAACGTGGCTGGGTCTTTCAGCATGACAATGATCCCAAACACACCACCCGGGCAACGAAGGAGTGGCTTCGTAAGAAGCATTTCAAGGTCCTGGATTGGCCTAGCCAGTCTCCAGATCTCAACCCCATAGAAAATCTTTGGAGGGAGTTGAAAGTCTGTGTTGCCCAGCGACAGCCCCAAAACATCACTGCTCTAGAGGAGATCTACATGGAGGAATGGGCCAAAACACCAGCAACCGTGTGTGAAAACCTTGTGAAGACTTACAGAAAACGTTTGACCTGTGTCATTGCCAAATTAAGGGTATATAACAAAGTATTGAGAAACTTTTGCTATTGACCAAATACTTATTTTCCACCATAATTTGCAAATAAATTCATAAAAAATCCTACAATGTGATTTTCTGGATATTTTTTTCTCATTTTGTCTGTCATAGTTGACATGTACCTATGATGAAAATTACAGGCCTCTCTCATCTTTTTAAGTGGGAGAACTTGCAAAATTGGTGGCTGACTAAATACTTTTTTTCCCCACTGTACATTGATTGATTCATTAATCATATGCTACACAAAGATAAATAACATACATTTTTCTAAACTAATCCAATCAGTTAGTTAGATTTTTTGCACCGATTATTGAAATGGTTGTCCCAGTTTAAATGGCTTAGGTAGTCTCCTCACAATGTATCTAACCCTGGAAGTTATTATGAATGCAGGTTGTGGGTGAATCAAAATTCCAACTGTTGGATATCCACACTCTGGCTGGATTCCAATAGGAATTACGTATCACTTTGCAAGCCAGCATAATGTGACTTGCAGGTAGGGTTGCTAAATTCTGGTAACTTTCCCAAATTACCCAGGTTTTCCAGAAATCCTGGTTTGAAAATTCCTTGAAACTGGAGGGAATAAGCAGGGCATCTGGATTCCTTCAACCAGGATATCTGGGAATTTGGGGAAATGTACTGGAATTTTGCAATGCTACTTACAGGCATGATGTGGCTTGTAAACCATGAGTTTCAGGCCACTGTATTAGGGTAAAACTTTGTCTCAAAATAAAGCCTGATGAGATATGTCATGTATTGTCATAATGAGTTTAATTTTAATGGTAACATTCACCAAGGAACTCAGTTGGTGAAGGTCACAGGACTGAAAATTCAACAGCCATGTCTCTGTCACTAACAAATACAGTCATGGTTGGTAACTCTACAATTTACTCGAAAAGGCAAGGCACACTGTGAAATAAGGGCAAGGCACACTGTGGGGGGTGTGGCTTTCAGTTAGTTATTTTTGGCCACATGTGAATGGAAGTGTTGTACCAGTTAAAGTGGTCTATTGTAGAGGTACACTTTTATCACTTACAAGGAACAAATGGCTTTGTCACTGTGGTGGTACCCTATAAAGGCAAAAAAGCATGCTTTTGTACCTGTGGACTATATGTAATGATGGTACTATCTGAGGTATGAACTGGGGTACAATTACATGTATGTACCTATAACTAAAGGTACAAAGGATGACCATACAGGGTACCACGCCAGTGACAAGCGGTTGTACCCCTTTAAGAACAAATCTAAACCTTTTTCTAAGAGTGTATATAACCTGTGGTTAATTAATGTTTTTCAATAATCTAAAGTCTTGCAGGTAAATTAACATGTTCCAATAATCTGATGTCTTGCAGGGTGAGGATGGACAGCATGGCATGCTTGGACCACAGGGGCCTCCAGGGCTAAGGGTGTGAAATATTATTATTCCTTCCTGTTCCTTCTCTCCCTTCTCTTTCCCTATCTCACTCTATCTCCATGTCTGTGACAGGGGGAGCAGGGGCCTGCTGGTGACCAGGGCAGGAGTGGCCTTGATGGACTACCAGGGATGAAGGTAATGAGGAAGAATCGTAAATGGTGTGAATATACAGCCATGTATCAACTCACAGGGCTTGACCCTGAGACATGTGGCACTATGTACTGATGCACGGGAATGACAGGCATGCTGAGGTTCCACTGTGTGTATTCACTCTAGCTATGTTCTCGTTCAGGGGGAGAAGGGGGACACAGGAAACACAGGGCCTCAGGGGGACATGGTGAGTGGCTCCTCATATCACACTCTTTGACCTAAAGTCATCTACTGTGGGTCTATGAAAAAATATCTGCATTAGACCCATCTTCCAAGAAGATTATACATTTATTTATCTTCATTCATTCTATCTGTGTGTTTCACTCTGTCTCCCTCTGCAGGGCTTACCCGGAGAGAAGGCTGTTCTTGGCTCCTATGACAACATCGGCCTTGGCCAAGTCTTTCAGGTGAGTTCTTAATTGGGTCTTTTAAAAGTTGATCAGAAACAACATTCTGCATTGTACTGCAACCCCACAAATTCAGTACTATTTTATTAATGATTAAAAGTATCACACACCATAATATTCTTCTAGGTATGCATTATGTATAACAGTCCCCTGTGCAGTACAAAGTCTCACCTTCATTTTCTACTTTTCTACCTTTTATTATTCCTGCAGGGCCCCCCAGGGCCACCAGGGCCCCCAGGAGGCCAAGGGCCAAAGGTGAGAGTGGTGTTTGAGATGTGCCTGAGTGGTTAAGGCGATGGACTGCTAATCCATTGTGCTGTGCATGCATGGGTTTGAATCCCATCCTTGTCTGTGGAAGAGATTTTGTTCTGGAGAGATTGTCATTGTAGCCTATATATTATATATATTATACACAATGCACAGTGTGTCGGTTATATTGTTTTACATTTACATTTAAGTCATTTAGCAGACGCTCTTATCCAGAGCGACTTACAGTTAGTGAGTGCATACATTATTTAATTTTTCATACTGGCCCCCCGTGGGAAGCGAACCCACAACCCTGGCGTTGCAAACGCCATGCAACTGAGCTACAGCCCTGCTGGCCATTCCCTCCCCTACCCTGGACGACGCTGGGCCAATATTGCGCCGCCCCATATTATCTGACTGTAAGTCGTTCTGGATCAGAGTGTCTGCTAAATGACCAAAATGTACACTACCAGTCAAAAGTTTGGACACAGCTACTCATTCAAGGGTTTTTCTTTTTTTTCTTCTTTTTTTTTAAATTGTAGAATAATAGTGAAGACATCAAACTTATGAAATAACACATATGGAATCATGTAGCAACCATACATGTGTTCAACGGATCAAATTATATTTTATATTTGAGATTCTTCAAATAGCCACCCTTAACCTTGATGACAGCTTTGCACACTCTTGGCATTCTCTCAACCAGCTTCATGAGGTAGTCACCTGGAATGCATTTCAATTAACAGGTGTGCCTTCTTAAAAGTTAATTTGTGGAATTTCTTTCCTTCTTAATGCGTTTGAGCCAATCATTTGTGTTGTGACAAGGTAGGGGGGTATACAGAAGATAGCCCTATTTGGTAAAAGACCAAGTCCATATTATGTCAAGAACAGCTCAAATAAGCGAAGAGAAACAACGGTCCATCATTACTTTAAGACATGAAGGTCAGTCAATCCGGAAAATATCAAGAACTTTTAAAGTTTCTTCAAGTGCAGTCGCAAAAACCACAAAGCGCTATGATGAAACTGGCTCTCATGAGGACCGCCACAGGAATGGAAGACCCAGAGTTACCTCTGCAGCAGAGGATAAGTTCATTAGAGTTACCAGCCTCAGAAATTGCAGCCCAAATAAATGCTTCACAGAATTCAAGTAACAGACACATCTCAACATCAACTGTTCAGGATGGACTGTGTGAATCAGGCCTTCATGGTCGAATTGCTGCAAAGAAACCACTACTAAAGGACACCAATAAGAAGAGACCTGCGTGAGACGCGTGTGGGTGAATGGATGATCTCTGCATGTGTAGTTCCCACCGTAAAGCATGGAGGAGGAGGTGTTATGGTGTAGGACACTGTCTGTGATTTATTTAGAATTCAAGGCACACTTAACCAGCATGGCTACTACAGCATTCGGCAGCGATACGCTATCCCATCTGGTTTGCGCTTAGTGGGACTATAATTTTTTTTTTCAACAGGAAAATGACCCAACACACCTCCAGGCTGTGTAATGGCTATTTTACCAAGAAGGAGAGTGATACTATCGGAGGATTAGAAATCCAGGGCTTAAAAACAAAGGTGTCATTGTACACTGATGATTCATGTTTTCTTTTAAATCCACAACTAGAATCCCTCCACAGCCTCATAGAGGATCTAGATACATTTTCTAACCTCTCTGGATTACAACCAAATTATGACAAATGTACTATATTACGTATTGGATCACTAAAAAATACAATTTTTACATTACAATGTAGTTTACCAATAAAATGGTCTGATGGAGATGTGGATATACTCGGAATACATATCCCAAAGGAAATAAATGATCTCACTTCAATAAATTATAATAGAAAGTTAGCAAAAATAGATGTCACACCCTGGCTCTGGGACTCTATATGTTGAGCCAGGGTGTGTATATTCTATGTATTGTATTTCTGTGTTGGCCCGAGTGGTTCCCAATCAGAGGCAACGAGTGTCAGCTGTTGCTGGTTGTCTCTGATTGGGAGCCATATTTATAGAGGCTGTTTTCCCACAATAGTTGTGGGATCTTGTTCCAGTTGGTTTGTTCCTTTTGGTTTGTACTTTTGGACGTCACGGTATCGTTTATTGTTTTGTTCGAGTGTTTACTCTCTTTAAATAAAGTATGTTCGTTCATCACGCTGCGCCTTGGTCTACTCCGTTCCACGATCGTGACAGAAGATCCCACCATACCCGGACCAAGCAGCGTGTCCAGGAGCAGGCGGCCTGGACATGGGAGGAAGCGCCGGGAAAGGAGCTGGAGAGGTTGGCGATGGCCCAGGTGGGCAAATCGTGGTCCTGGGAGGACATGCTCGGGGGCAAAGGGCCATGGGCTAAGATTAAGGCCCTGGCGAGAGAGGAGCAACGGCGTCAACAGTGTCGTCGTCGGACGGACGAGAGGCAACCCCAGAAAATTTTTAGGGGGGGGCACACGGCATGGGCGACTGGGCAGCAGGAGGCTGCCACAGGGCGAATTGGGAGATTAGGAGAGGAGGCCACCGGGTTTGGGGGGCCAGAAGGCAGGTTGGCGGAGCCTGGATGGAGAGCAGAGCCAACTCCCCGTACTCAGGCATGGCAGCATGAGACTGGGCAGGTTCCGCGGTATGCGGAGCTGCGTACTGTGCCACGAGTGGTCCGGCATAGTCCGGTACGTCCTGTGCGAGCACCCCGCACGTGTCGTGCGAAGGGGGGCATGCAGCCAGGACGGAGTGTGCCGGCTCAGCGCTTGTGGTCTCCAGTGCCTCTCCTCGGTCCCGGATATCCTGCGCCAGTGTCACGTGCTGTTATGCCAGTACGGGTACACAGCCCTGTACGTCCTGTGCTGATGCCTCACACAGAGTGTGTGAAGGTAGGCATTCAGCCAGGACGGGTTGTGGCAGCTCTTCACTCCAGGCCTCCTATCCGTCTCCACAGCCCGGCCCGGCCTGTTCCTGCTCCTCACACCAAGCCTACGGTGCGCGTCGCCAGCCCGGCCCGGCCTGTTCCTGCCACTCGCACCAAGCCTACGGTGCGCGTCGCCAGCCCGGCCCGGCCTGTTCCTGCTCCTCGCACCAAGCCTACGGTGCGCGTCGCCCCAGCCCGGCCCCCGGTGTTCCTGCCATGCACCAAGCCCACGGGCGGCGCCAGCCCGGGCCCGGCCCGTTCCTGCCAATCCACCCAAACCTACGGTCGGCGCCACCCGGGCCCGTTCCTCCCCCTTTGCACAAGCCTACGGTGGGTCGCCAGCCGGGCCCCGGCCGTTCCCGCCCCCCGCACCAGCCAGGTGCGCGTTTAAAACCCCCCCGGCCCGTTCCCGCCCCTTTGCACCAAGCCTAGGGGGTGCTGCCAGCCCCGGCCCGCCGTTTGCCCCCCGAAAGCCAGGGTGGTTGAGGGCCCGGGGTGTTTTTTGGGGAAAGGGTGGTGAGGGGGCCGTTCCTGAGAAAAGCCTACGGTGGGCGTCCAGCCCCCTGGCCCGTTCCGCCCAGCACCAAGCCAGGGGGGCGCATCGTCAGCCCGGTCCGGCCCGTTCCGCTCCACGCACCAACCCGGGGGCGCATCGTAGCCCCGGGCCGGCCCCTTCCCCTCCACGCAAAGCCGGGGTGCGGTCTCGCCCGGTCGCCGTTCCTGTCCACGCACCAAGCCAGGGGTGCGAGTAGTCAGCCCGCGTCCGGCCCGGTCCTGCCTCCACGACACCAAGCCAGGGGTGAGAGTCGTCAGCCCGGTGGCCCGTTCCTGCTCCACGCACCAAAAAGCCAGGCGGTGCGCATCGTCAGCCCGGTCCGGCCGTTGTGCTCCACGCACCAAGCCAGGGGTGCCGCATCGTACAGCCCTGGTCCGGCGCCCGTTCCTGCTCCAACCGCACCAAGCCAGCGGGTGGCGAGTCGTCAGTCCGGCACAACCCGTGCCTGGGTCACCGTGCCTGGTCAGGTACCGGTCAGCTGCTCCACACCGGAGCTTAAGCAATCCGCTCCTACGATGTCCAGTCCAGCTCCAGCCAGCGGGGCCAGACCGGACCAGGGGCGCTACGGGGGGATTATGGGAGGGTGGTGGGCGAGCCCGGAGCCGCTTCCGTGGAGGAATGCCCACCCAGCCCCCCCCCGGTTTGTTTATGTTTAGGCGCGGTCGCAGTCCGCGCCTTTAGGGGGGGGTACTGTCACACCCTGGCTCTGGGACTCTATATGTTGAGCCAGGGTGTGTATATTCTATGTATTGTATTTCTGTGTTGGCCCGAGTGGTTCCCAATCAGAGGCAACGAGTGTCAGCTGTTGCTGGTTGTCTCTGATTGGGAGCCATATTTATAGAGGCTGTTTTCCCACAATAGTTGTGGGATCTTGTTCCAGTTGGTTTGTTCCTTTTGGACGTCACGGTATCGTTTATTGTTTTGTTCGAGTGTTTACTCTCTTTAAATAAAGTATGTTCGTTCATCACGCTGCGCCTTGGTCTACTCCGTTCCACGATCGTGACAATAGATAAGATCTTGCTACCATGGAAAGGTAAATATCTGTCAATTTGTGGAAAAATCACCCTGATTAACTCTTTAGTATTATCCCAGTTTACCTATTTGCTTATGTTCTTGCCTACGCCTAGCGAACAGTTTTTTAAATTATATGAGAAAAAAATATTCCATTTTATTTGGAACGGCAAGCCAGACAAAATTAAACGGGCCTATTTATATAATGAATATGAATTCGGAGGACAGAAATTATTAAATATTAAAGCATTAGACCTATCACTAAAAGCTTCAGTCATACAAAAGTTATACTTAAATCCGAACTGGTTCTCTAGCAAATTAGTAAGACTGTCTCACCCAAAGTTCAAGAATGGCCTTTTTCCCTTTATTCAGATTACAACCACTCACTTCAGTTATTTGAAAAGGAAATCATCTCCCAAATATCACTATTTCTAAAACAAGCCATAGAAAGTTGGTTGCAATTTCAATTTAATCCTCCAGAAACTACAGAACAAATAATGCAACAAATATTGTGGTTAAAATCAAATATACTAATTGACAAAAACACTTTTTTTTTGACAAATTTTTTTAAAAAGGTATAATCTTCGTAAATGATATCATCGGTAGGACTGGTGGAGTTATGTCGCACATGCAGCTAACAAAAACATATGGAAATGTCTGCTCTACCCAAAATTACAACCAAATAATTGCAGACTTACCGCAAAAATGGAAGAGGAAAGTGGAAGGGGGAGAAAGTAAGGAACTTGTCTGTCGGCCTTGCATTAAAGAACAACATTGGTTAAAGAAAACTGTGATAAATAAAAAAGTATATCAGTTTCATTTAAGGACCAAAGGATTGACATCCCATATAGATTGCAAAATAGTTGGGAAGAGATTTTTGACATACCGATCCCATGGCATAGTGTTTATGAACTGATACGCAAAACGACACCGGATTCAAAAATTAAAATCTTTCCATTTAAATTATTATATAAAATTCTTGCTACCAATATAATGTTATTTATATGGGGGATACAATCTTCCCAGCTCTGCAGATTTTGCTGCGAAGAGACAGAATCATTAGATCATTTGTTTTGGTACTGTCCATTTGTAGCTTGTTTTTCGACACAGGTCCAGGAATGGCTAAAGGATTGCAATATTTACCTGGAGCTAACATTGCAGATAGCATTACTGGGTGATCTGAAATGTCATAGTCAATCGATCAATAATATAATAATACTTTTAGCAAAAATGTTTATTTTTAATTCACAATCTGTAGAAACAATGAGAATAGAAAGGTTCAGAATTTTTGTAAAACAGCACAGTACAGTTGAAATATATATGGCAAATAGAAATCCTATATGGATGGTGTTAAGAGATAGATGGGAGGTGTTGAATGGAGCTGAAGGATGGGACTAATAACAATTAACAACAAAATAATAACAAGATAACTAATAATGTAAGCATTCTGTGTCCATAATAAGTATATAGGTTGTATGTTGGGAGCTTTGAGAAAGAGCACAGTTAGAAATATATGGCATATAGAAGCAAACTGGATGGACATCATGAAAATGATTGGAGAGGTTGAGAGTAGAAGAAGTTCAGGAGAAGAAAAAAATATAAATATATATAATTATTGTAAAATTGACTGTGTCCATAAAATGTAGATAGTAAGTATAAGCTGGAAGTAGAGGCCTAAGTATTGTTGTTCACTAGTTTACCCAAAGTAGGGAAAGGGTGGCGGGGTTGGAAAGTAATAAAGGGGAATATATACAGTGGGGGAAAAAAAGTATTTAGTCAGCCACCAATTGTGCAAGTTCTCCCACTTAAAAAGATGAGAGAGGCCTGTAATTTTCATCATAGGTACGCGTCAACTATGAAAGACAAAATTAGGAAAAAAAATCCAGAAAATCACATTGTAGGATTTTGAATGAATTTATTTGCAAATGATGGTGGAAAATAAGTATTTGATCAATAACAAAAGTTTCTCAATACTTTGTTATATACCCTTTGTTGGCAATGACACAGGTCAAACGTTTTCTGTAAGTCTTCACAAGGTTTTCACACACTGTTGCTGGTATTTTGGCTCATTCCTCCATGCAGATCTCCTCTAGAGCAGTGATGTTTTGGGGCTGTCGCTGGGCAACACAGACTTTCAACTCCCTCCAAAGATTTTCTATGGGGTTGAGATCTGGAGACTGGCTAAGCCACTCCAGGACCTTGAAATGCTTCTTACGAAGCCACTCCTTCGTTGCCTGGGTGGTGTGTTTGGGATCATTGTCATGCTGGAAGACCCAGCCACGTTTCATCTTCAATGCCCTTGCTGATGGAAGGAGGTTTTCACTCAAAATCTCACGATACATGGCCCCATTCATTCTTTCCTTTACACGGATCAGTCGTCCTGGTCCCTTTGCAGAAAAACAGCCCCAAAGCATGATGTTTCCACCCCCATGCTTCACAGTAGGTATGGTCTTATTTGGATGCATCTCAGCATTCTTTGTCCTCCAAACACGACGAGTTGAGTTTTTACCAAAAAGTTATATTTTGGTTTCATCTGACCATATGACATTCTCCCAATCCTCTTCTGGATCATCCAAATGCACTCTAGCAAACTTCAGACGGGCCTGGACATGTACTGGCTTAAGCACGGGGACACGTCTGGCACTGCAGGATTTGAGTCCCTGGCGGCGTAGTGTGTTACTGATGGTAGGCTTTGTTACTTTGGTCCCAGCTCTCTGCAGGTCATTCACTAGGTCCCCCTGTGTGGTTCTGGGATTTTTGCTCACCGTTCTTGTGATCATTTTGACCCCACGGGGTGAGATCTTGCGTGGAGCCCCAGATCGAGGGAGATTATCAGTGGTCTTGTATGTCTTCCATTTCCTAATAATTGCTCTCACAGTTGATTTCTTCAAAACAAGCTGCTTACCTATTGCAGATTCAGTCTTCCCAGCCTGGTGCAGGTCTACAATTTTGTTTCTGGTGTCCTTTGACAGCTCTTTGGTCTTGGCCATAGTGGAGTTTGGAGTGTGACTGTTTGAGGTTGTGGACAGGTGTCTTTTATACTGATAACAAGTTCAAACAGGTGCCATTAATACAGGTAACGAGTGGAGGACAGAGGAGCCTCTTAAAGAAGAAGTTACAGGTCTGTGAGAGCCAGAAATCTTGCTTGTTTGTAGGTGACCAAATACTTATTTTCCACCATAATTTGCAAATAAATTCATAAAAAATCCTACAATGTGATTTTCTGGATTTTTTTTCCTCAGCTTGTCTGTCATAGTTGACGTGCACCTATGATGAAAATTACAGGCCTCTCTCATCTTTTTAAGTGGGAGAACTTGCACAATTGGTGGCTGACTAAATACTTTTTTCCCCCACTGTATATAAAAAACATGGGGGATTGGAAGTGATGCAGACAATTACATTGATGGAAGTTACAATCTATCTGCAATATTAAGCTGATCTACCCCCCAAAAAATAAAAATAAATAATAATAAAATTTGAAAAACACTCAAACAAAAAACAAAACAATATTTTTAAAAAGAAGGAGAGTGATGGAGTGCTGCATCAGATGACCTGGCCTCCACAATCACCCGACCTCAACCCAATTGAGATGGTTTGGGATGAGTCGGACCGCAGAGTGAAGGAAAAGCAGTTAACAAGTGCTCAGCATATGTGGGACCTCCTTCAAGACTGTTGGAAAAGCATTCCAGGTGAAGCTGGTTGAGAGAATGCCAAGAGTGTGCAAAACTGTCATCAAGGCAAAGGGTGACTATTTGAAGAATCTCAAATATAAAATATATTTTGATTTGTTTAACACTTTTTTCGTTACTACATGATTCCATATGTGTTATTTCATAGTTTTGATATCTTCACTATTATTCTACAATGTAAAAAATAGTAAAAAAGAAAAGAAAAACCCTTGACTGGTACTGTAAGTGTCAATGTCTCATATGTTGGCATATGCAGCATTGGTGCAGTGAACTACAGTAGGGCTTTGGTTTATGGATTGACAATAGGCACACACATGTTTACCTGTCTCCTTCATGCCAACAGGGAGATTCAGGCTCACCTGGTGCACCTGGAGCTGATGGGGATAGGGTAAATGACATGACTCTGTGATAATGAATTATTATTGTACTACACATCATAGTATCCACCTCATGTTGTGCCTCCTCTCTGTAGGGAGCCAAAGGGGAGAGAGGTGATGACGGGATGCCTGGAGTGGCAGGGGAAAAGGGAGAGCGAGGTCTGACGGGCCTAACTGGGTTTGCGGTAAGTGTGAAATGGGCTGTGTCCTGATGGATACCCAATGGACTATGAGCATGGCATGGTAGCCTAGTATCCCACTGCCTTGTATATTTTGTCCATATAATGTATTTTTTCTCTCTTAGGGAGCTGACAGCAAAACAGGAGAGAGAGGAGATTCAAGGTTTGAGGACAATCTGGTCAGTAACGTTTTAGATACCGAACTTGTATCTATAACAAACTGTTAAGTGTGATATCTCATCATGGTCGAGTAGTGTTATATGATTGTGTGACCTCTGGTTATCTTAACTAATGCTCTCTGCTTCAGGCCCAGATGATCTCTATCGCAGGCCCTCCAGGGCCCCCCGGACCTCCTGGGCTCCAGGGGTTCATGGTGGGTAACTGGTCTCTCTGTCTTCTTAATGATAGGGGGATATCAATAGCTTCAACTCTCTAGATACCAATATTCTCTCTGCAAAAAGATGACTGTCAAACACTCAATACTCAACCTGTTCTCAGAGGAACCTAGTAAACCCCAATGTCTACTTTGTTGTTAAAGTGTTTTAAATGATCTATGTGCTTTAATAGGCTCTTGTGATGAACAGTGTTTACAAAAAGAATGACATAACAAATTGTGTTTTTCAGGGACATCATGGAATGCCTGGCCCCAAGGTGGGTAGTCAGGGCTCTGATCTCCTCCTGCCCCTAGAAGGACACAGGATTCTTTAGGTTACTAAAGCAGCACTGGAATGCCCTGTCATTCAAAATGTTGCCCTAACAGAAAATGAAATGCTGGACGTTAGAATAGGGGATGAAAATTGTATTTGCAGTAAGTCAGAGAGAAGATGGATTGTAGTTAAAAAAGCACCAGCTTGAAATTGTGCTTTTGTCAATGTCTCACAGGGGGAACCAGGCGAGATAGTGAAAGGAGAAAAAGGGGATGCAGGTGACAGAGGACCTCCTGGGTTAAGGGTAATTATCTTCTATTCCGTGTCACTCATACTGCATATCAGGGTTGGGGTCAATTCGGAATTTCTGAATGTAATTCAATTCAACCCATTAATTGAAATTGGAATTTGAATTGGACTGGCTCAGATCCCGGTTCAGATCCCGGATGAGCCCCCAGGACCATGGTTCGAGTTTCATGTCGGGGTCTTCCAACGAGTGCTGCAACAGTTGGGTGTTGCCTATTGCTCCTCTAGTGCCTACCACCCAGAGTCTCAAGGTGTTCTTGAGAGATTTCATCAGACTTTGAAGTCTATGTTGTGAGCTTACTGCTTTGAGTTAGAGACAGACTGGGATGAAGGGGTCTTGTGCTGTTTGCAGCGCGTGAGGTTGTTCAGGAATCTCTTTGTTTCAGTCCAAATGAGCTCATGTTTGGACATCATGTCAGAGGTCCGCTAAGCTTGCTGAGAGAGAGGTTGTTGAAGGACCATAACCCAAAAACGAAAACAATCCTTTATCTGTTCTTCCCTGTTTTCATTTTGCTCCACTTTTTGGTTTGCTTCCTGTCTTTAAGTTTGGTGTGGGTTTTAATTTTGTTTGCCTCTTCTTGGGCAAATTTAGTGGGCGCTCATGGTGGGTGTCTTTTAGGTCCCAGTTGTTGTTGCTCGTCAGCTTTCAGTGGACACCCCCATGAGTGTCTTTCAGAACCCCTCCTAAAACCCCACCTGTTTCATTTTGGTTGTTGTTAGTGATTCTTTTAGTTCCCCCTTCTGTTTTAGCGACAATTTTTGGTTTCTTGCTAGGGAAAGTAACAATAGTGATGTGTAGAATAAATTAACCATTTTAATTTCGTTGAATTCAATTCCAATTCTGCTTACTGTGGGGTGTGGCCAATTCAAATTAAATTAAAATTCAAGAATTAAAATTAATGAGGAATTAGCAACTAATTAGCAAGGCCCCAACCCTGCTGCATATGACATTACGGCCCACATAACTGATGACACTATTTCTGCACACAGGGTATTCAGGGTATTCCAGGTTCTACAGGATTGGTTGGTCTCCCTGGCACCATAGGGAGAAAGGTTAGCAGCATTTTTCATATGACCTGTTTGTAGAGGAAATGTACAGGGCATCAGAGACCCTTGCAGTATTTTCAAAATAAGCTGCTTCTGAATTAACTTCAATCATATTTAATTTCAACAGGGAGAGCAAGGATTGCCGGGATTAGATGTAAGTGTGTCTAAATCTGTCACATCCCCCCTGCTACTAGTCTGGTTGATAAAGACCCTTCATTAACCACTACCTCTCTCCATGTCAGGGTTTCCCCGGGCTGATGGGAGAAAAAGGGGACAGAGGGGACAGAGGAGAGAAGGTGGGCATCAGCCACAACAGTGGCTACTGCGGCAATGTTTATTAATCTTCTCTTACCTAACATGTTATAGTAAAATCTGGAGAAGACATTGATGCTCGATGAGAGGTTTGTCTCCTCTGTGGTCCTCTGTAGTTCAGTTGGTAGAGCATGGCACGTGCAACGCTTGGATAGTGGGTTTGATTCCTGGAACCACCCATACGTAAAATGTTTTTATGCAGGCCTGACTAAGTCCCTTTCGATAAAAGCATCCGCTAAATATATTATTATATATTATTGTTGTCACTCTTCTCTCTCAGGGTGACAGGGGGATGCTGGGAAAGAAGGGACTGAAGGGACAGAAGGGCGAGCAGGGCCCCCCTGGACTGGACCAGCCCTGTCCTGTGGTATGTCACTTCTTCCTGTTGCCTCATCTCCGCTCACTCTTCCTCAAACACTGTCTTCTCATTCAAGGGCAAACCTCCCTTTCTCTAAATAATACAATTATTAGGTTACATTTGGTAGAGCAGAGTTATTATTATTATTTGTATTGAATATTTAAAACATACAATCTACTTGCAGTGAAGCCGCTCAACATCTACATCATATTAGTCATCTGGTAGAGCAGAGTTTATGTAAGGGATAATCAATGAGGGGCAATGCGTTCTATGGAAAATAATGAATGATGTGGAAAGTGTGTTCCATGACGTGTTAGCGGAGTGGAACTGACCTTCCATGGAATTGCATTATTTTCCAGAGAACGCATAGAGCCCCGAGTTGATTATTCCTTTTATACCATGGCTATAATTTAACACTTGTCACTAGAAATGTGTTCATTTGCCGGTAGAAATGAGTTCAACATCCACTGAAGTAGCTAGCAAGTTTACTAGATATCTACAATAGTTGCCATCGTGACCAAACAAATAGACTTGCTAGTTTAGCTAACCAAACCATCAGTCCTAGCTTGCTATTATGAAAATCGAATTCAACAATAGCAATACTGTTTTCAATTCGACTTTTGCTTTCAAAAGCAGCTCAAACTATCTATAGCCATTGAATTATACTGTGCAAATATACAGTGCGTTATAGGGAAATAATACACACTCTAGAATGCCTTTTAAGTCAATTAGAAAGGAGTATTCAACAATGCCATGGTATAAAGTAAAATATCCATTATCTACATTGACTTCAGAAGAGACCAACCTACCATCCCTGTGCTGGACAGTAACGGCCAGATCATTGAGCGAGTGTAAGACTACAAATACCTAGGAACCATCATTGACAACAAGCTCTCCTTCAAAAGGAACACCAAACAGATTTACTCTAAATGTCAACAACGCTTGTTCTTGAGGAATTTTAATGTACACCAATCCATCCTCCAAGCATTTTATGAATGCTTTATAGAATCCATCCTATCGTTTAATATTGTGGGGTAGTTTGGGGCTCTAGGGAACACTAGTCAGAACCCATTGAACAGGGTAATACAAATCAGTGGGAAGGTCATTGGAGAAAGCCAGGAACCCCTCAGTGACATCTATAAAAAACGAGTCAGGAAGAATGGGGAACAAACAGCTTCGGCAGTGCGCACACACTCCATGACTGGGCACAGATACACAGTACCAGTCAAAAGTTTGGACACACCTATTCATTCAAGGGTTTTTCTTTATTTTTACTATTTTCTACATTGTAGAATAATAGTGAAGACATCAAAACTATGAAATAACACATATGGAATCATGTAGTAACCAAAAAAGTGTTAAACAAATCAAAATATATTTTTTATTTTAGATTCTTCAAAGTAGCCACCCTTTGCCTTGATGACAGCTTTGCACACTATTGGCATTCTCTCAACCAGCTTCATGAGGTAGTCACCTGAAATGCATTTCAATTAACAGGTGTGCCTTGTTAAAAGTTAATTTGTGGAATTTCTTTCCTTCTTAATGCATTTGAGCCAATCAGTTGTGTTGTGACAAGGTAGGGGTGGTATACAGAAGATATCCCTATTTGGTAAAAGACCAAGTCCATATTATGGCAAGAACAGCTCAAATAAGCAAAGAGAAACGACAGTCCATCATTACTTTAAGACATGAAGGTCAGTCAATCCGGAACATTTCAAGAACTTTGAATGTTTCTTCAAGTGCAGTCGCAAAAACCATTTAGAGCTATGATGAAACTGGCTCTCACGAGGACCGCCACAGGTAAGGAAGACCCAGAGTTACCTCTGCTGCAGAGGATAAGTTCATTAGAGTTACCAGAGCCTGGCCCTCCTACCCCTTTGTTGTTACAAGACATCAGTATTTCTCTGTGGGCAATGCAATACTGCATGTTTGTTTAATGAAGGTGTTTCTTTTCTATCACCAGGGTCGGGATGGATTGCCCATACCAGGGTGTTCGCATAAGGTTTGTACAGCAATAGTTATTCTATGAGGGTCTGTTTGCTTGGCCTGCTCTGGCCCAAGTGGGTGTTTAGCTGTCTTGGGGGTGTTTAAGAAGTTTTATACAACGGGTGGGTCTAATCCTGAATGCTGATTGGTCAAAACTGCAATCCAGCCGGTGTCTATTCCACAAGTTACCACCGGCTAAATCTATGACGTTAAAATGCCTATTTACTCTGTTCCATCTGACTGCGCAATCCACTTTCTCATCAGCCCAGCCAAGCAATTTATGAACTTGATCTCCACCATAAAAGCATCTAGACATTATCTCACATTTACAGTGGGGGAAAAAAGTATTTAGTCAGCCACCAATTGTGCAAGTTCTCCCACTTAAAAAGATGAGAGAGGCCTGTAATTTTCATCATAGGTACACGTCAACTATGACAGACAAAATGAGGAAAAAAATTCCAGAAAATCACATTGTAGGATTTTTTATGAATTTATTTGCAAATTATGGTGGAAAATAAGTATTTGGTCAATAACAAAAGTTTCTCAATACTTTGTTATATACTCTTTGTTGGCAATGACACAGGTCAAACGTTTTCTGTAAGTCTTCACAAGGTTTTCACACACTGTTGCTGGTATTTTGGCCCATTCCTCCATGCAGATCTCATCTAGAGCAGTGATGTTTTGGGGCTGTCACTGGGCAACACAGACTTTCAACTCCCTCCAAAGATGTTCTATGGGGTTGAGATCTGGAGACTGGCTAGGCCACTCCAGGACCTTGAAATGCTTCTTACGAAGCCACTCCTTCGTTGCCCGGGCGGTGTGTTTGGGATCATTGTCATGCTGAAAGACCCAGCCACGTTTCATCTTCAATTCCCTTGCTGATGGAAGGAGGTTTTCACTCAAAATCTCACGATACATGGCCCCATTCATTCTTTCCTTTACACGGATCAGTCGTCCTGGTCCCTTTGCAGAAAAACAGCCCCAAAGCATGATGTTTCCACCCCCATGCTTCACAGTAGGTATGGTGTTCTTTGGATGCAACTCAGCATTCTTTGTCCTCCAAACACGACGTGTTGAGTTTTTACCAAAAAGTTCCAATTTGGTTTCATCTGACCATATGACATTCTCCCAATCCTCTTCTGGATCATCCAAATGCACTCTAGCAAACTTCAGACGGGCCTGGACATGTACTGGCTTAAGCAGGGGGACACGTCTGGCACTGCAGGATTTGAGTCCCTGGCGGCGTAGTGTGTTACTGATGGTAGGCTTTGTTACTTTGGTCCCAGCTCTCTGCTGGTCATTCACTAGGTCCCCCCGTGTGGTTCTGGGATTTTTGCTCACCGTTCTTGTGATCACTTTGACCCCACGGGGTGAGATCCTGCGTGGAGCCCCAGATCGAGGGAGATTATCAGTGGTCTTGTATGTCTTCCATTTCCTAATAATTGCTCCCACAGTTGATTTCTTCAAACCAAGCTGCTTACCTATTGCAGATTCAGTCTTCCCAGCCTGGTGCAGGTCTACCATTTTGTTTCTGGTGTCCTTTGACAGCTCTTTGGTCTTGGCCATAGTGGAGTTTTGAGTGTGACTGTTTGAGGTTGTGGACAGGTGTCTTTTATACTGATAACAAGTTCAAACAAGTGCCATTAATACAGGTAACGAGTGGAGGACAGAGGAGCCTCTTAAAGAAGAAGTTACAGGTCTGTGAGAGCCAGAAATCTTGCTTGTTTGTAGGTGACCAAATACTTATTTTCCACCATAATTTGCAAATAAATTCATTAAAAATCCTACAATGTGATTTTCTGGATATTTTTTTCTCCATTTGTCTGTCATAGTTGACGTGTACCTATGATGAAAATTACAGGCCTCTCTCATCTTTTTAAGTGGGAGAACTTGCACAATTGGTGGCTGACTAAATACTTTTTTCCCCCACTGTATTTTAGACTAACATTTAGTTTTCAACAGCTGAGATTTGTATAAACCTTTCTGTCTGTCTCTCCGACATTTGCAATATTGTTTCAATATTCAAATTCGATCTCAAGCTGTCCCATAGTAATGAACGTGTCGGGAGTCGGGACGAGACAGACAGACAGGTAGGCAGCGTTTCTCAGCCAGTCGAAATCATGAATCAGCTGGCATAATTTGTATGGATATATACAAAGAAACGTCAATTGAAAAAAGGTCAAACGAAACGAAGTGCAGCTAGTTTGCAGTCTTTCCATCTTCAGTTTGAAGTGATTGTGTTAGCTGTGTTGTTGGGTAGCTCCTGCTCTGAACAGCAGTGTCCTGACGAGTAAGAAAATGTTCTATGCAGGGCGAAATCGCGCCTCATTAGCTCATTGTTATAATAAATAATAATAGCTCATTGTTATGGATGTATCCAAATAAATGTCACTAGAAAATAGCTTAAACAAATGCAAATGCAGCTACTTTGCTGTTATTCTGGCTGCACTTTTTGACGTGACTAAGTTAGCCGTAGTTGGCTAGCTAGCAAGCAAGCGATAAGAACGTTGCCAGCCAGTATGGCAATGGAACATTTAAAACGAACAACTGGGTCGAGTCCATAGATACAGAACTAAAATACTGAATGACTGGGTCGCGTCTCTAGCAACTGAACCGATAGAACGAACGACCGGCCGGCTTGGGTAGCAACCCTAGATTTTGTCAGGATTATATCTTGTGGAAGGATGAAATGGTATGAATAAATTCTTCAAAATAATGCTTTTAATTAAAATATGTAAATCATTATTTGAATATGTTGGTAACCCGTTGTATAAAAGTGATAATGCCCTCGAAGCCGGTGTTTGGAGGATATATTGGCACGGTTTGCCAGCCCTCGACTTCGTTGGTGGTACAGTAACTGAAAAAGGTTGGGAACCACTGGTGTATAGTATGATTGTACAGTATCATTTACCTGCTAGTGAATGTGTCTCTACTCTTTCTCTTTTTCAGTGATGGGTTACCTGGGACATGGGATCTGTACATATCGATATATATATATTTTCAACTAAAACTCAAGTGTA